GTGCCCTTGACCCCTCCCCCTGATGGGTGACTGTGCTCTGCGAATTTTCAGGTCTTATCCGTATTGAAAATAGAGCAGTTATCCTGAGCAGGTAAGTCTGTACTCTGAATTTTGCCAGCGCCTGAGGTTTGGGAGCAGTTCACCATTTTCCTTTCTCTGTTAGTCGCTCGTGGAGCAGCAAATGGAAAACTGTCTCAAAGCCAGAGGTCGACTTCTCAGAGGAGAGCGGCCTGGAGAGGCAGCATGGAGGGCCTTGGTTGAGGACGCGGGGGGGGGGGGACTGCAGGAAACCTAGAGCAGGAGTGAGCAGATGGTCTGGGCGAGGCCGGGTTTCTGGAAGGACTCCCAGATGAGGTCTGGGGCCAGGCAGCACTCTGAGCACCCTACCCCTTTTCTCCGAGGTTGCCCTGCTTCTGGAAACACCTTTGCTCCAGACACACTGGCTGAGAAATGTAGCTTTGAGTCTTTGGCTGAATTGATGCCGACCTTTTAATTCCTGCCTTAAAATAGGATGGAATGGGAAATGTACGTGAATACTGTGTTTGGAGCAGGAGATTTTCTCAGAGGCGCTGGCAGCCTGCTTTGATTTGGATCGTAACTGTGACCGTACATTATGTACACACTGATGCAGCATAAGGAAAATTAAAAATACACTTAGTAGGCTGACCTACATGCTCCTGTGGCTGGCTACAAATGTGTATTTTGGATGCTTTTGAGCATGACAGTACATTTTTTCATGGGTTTCTCTGTATTCAATGTTAAGGCTCCAAGGATTTCACGTCAGGTACAATGAAGCAATATCCATTAGGGAAACCAGCCAGAGGCACACTGACAAGATGCTGTGAGAGTCTAGGGTTTTGGCTTTTTTTTCCATTTATGACTTTTATTTCCCCATTATTAGGTTGTAAAGTAAAATCATTTGCCTATTAATTTTTTATCTGGAAACTTTAAAACATGACAGATGTTGATGCTGAGCTCTTCAGAATCCCTAAATGTCGCTGTCTATACTGGTTCTGGGTAAATCACTCATCTTCCTCAACTTGAGTTTTCCTCCTGGTAAAGCAGGAGCATGAACTCCCAGGTCACTTCTGTTGCGTGATGGTCGGCTGTACGGGGTGTGTGATGCGGTCTAGCAGAGATAGGCTGTGCACAGAAATGTCAAAGAGAATAAGGCGGTTTTGTAATCATTGCTACGGGATCAAACCCTGACTCACTCTGTGGAGTTCTGTCTCAGGTCTTTCTTTTCCTTACTCTCAAAAGACTTCGCAGTTGCTCTCACAAAATGGAACCATTTAAAGGCTTTTTCATATGGGCCTTCCACCTATATACTTCCAGACCTTTTTTTCTGTGACCACGTATTACTTATCTTAATGGTGCTTGGGGTTATGAAAACTATTCTGGAGGACAGACTTGAGGGTTGTATTTTAAGTTTTTGACATAGGAGGGCGTGTTTGGAATGGATCCAGCCACACGTGTCCTGCTGCTCCTGGTATGTGGCTGGGTTCTTTCTGGACAGCCCTTCTACACTCACATCTTTTGTTTCTGCTCATGGGGCGTCTGTCATATCGACTTCTCTCCACCCCCTGCCATCCCGGGCCGCGATCAGATCCCCATTCACACACTGCTCCTGTCTCTCCGCTGCCTCTGCCTCCCAGCGAGTCTCTCTGCCTCGGCTCTTGCTCTCTGGTCTGCCACAATCTTTTGAAAGCTATGTCAGAACATATATTTCTCCTGCCTAAAACCTTTTAGTGATTTCTCATTGCCCTTGAAAGTACAAATCTATTCCTGCCCCAGGACCTTTGCACGTGCTATTCCTTTGGCAGTAAGCACTTCCCCTTCCAAATCATTGCACATCTGCCTTTTTTATGTCTCATTGAGAACCTGTTATAGCTGAACTATCATCCTGTCATAGAGGCCTTTATTGGTGACTCTATGTAAAATAGTTAAGACCCCTGCTTAATACCTGACACCTTACATGGCTATACTATCTACAGAACATCTTCCCCCTGAAATTATCTTGTCCACTGATTTTTATTGTTGTTCTTGCCTGTGTCATCCCAGCCCCATATTCGTGGGATCGCAGCATTTGCTGTGTGTCCTTCACTGTCTGGAGCAGAGTCTGGCCCATAACAGGTGCTCTGTATTCAATGTTAAGGCTGTTAAGCTGTGTCTGAGCAACAGATGAATGACTGACTCGATGGGTGTCACGGGCAGGACACTATAGCCTGGAGAAGCTAATTAGAAGAAGCCAAGCCCAGACGAGAACTCAGGCTCCTTCTATGCTCCCTTCCTCCAGGTCGTGCTGGCAGGCACGGCCCTCACTCATCCGCCAGATACGCACTGAGCTCTTCCTGTCCTGTCGATGCTTCTAGATCCGTGGTTCTCAACCAGGGTGATGTTCCTCTGGGGACATTTGCCAGTGTCTGGAGACATTTTTGGTTGTTATTTTGTTACTTTGTTACTGTGCAGAGATGCTGCTGAACAGCCGACCGTGTTCAGGATGGCCTCCCACAACAAGGACCCGTGTCACCACCAGTGCTCAGGACGGCCTCCCACAACAAGGATCCGTGTCACCACCAGTGCTCAGGATGGCCTCCCAAAGCAAGGACCCGTGTCACCACCAGTGCTCAGGATGGCCTCCCACAACAAGGACCCGTGTCACCACCAGTGCTCAGGACGGCCTCCCACAACAAGGACCCGTGTCACCACCAGTGCTCAGGACGGCCTCCCAAAGCAAGGACCCGTGTCACCACCAGTGCTCAGGACGGCCTCCCACAGCA